ATTTTGTATGACATATTTAGGATTTTCTGGTTTTGCTCAGGCTTAGAGTGATTATTATTTTTAAATTTTCCAACTGTAGTTTACTACTTTGTCTTGTCTTGTAAAATGATTACCCAAGGAACTGGACAATTTTTCAGTTTAATTTTTGTTGCTGTGGAATATAGAAAAATGTACTTTTGCATAGCATTAGAACATTTTAGCAGAACTAAAATTGTGAAATATGATTTGTTATATAGTTTGTAGTCACGTAAACTCTGTAATTAAATAATATTACTTTAAAGGTTTTATTTGAATCTGACTCAATTTGTATTGCTTGGAACTGTGTAAATGAATGCAGTTTTATTAGTGTGTCCCTTTCCTTACTACAGATACACCTCAGCCAGTTTCTTGGGGTAGGTTTCTGGATAATCTCTAGGAACAGGTCTCTGGAGATAATTTTATGCGAGAAATGTGAATAAGATTGAATATTTTAAATATTAGTATTTAAAATTAGGAGGTTAAACTTGGATTTAAAGCCTAAATTATTCCTGCCTATTGTGATTTTCTTTCTTATTAAAAGAATGAAACCACCTAATAAATCCCATTAACATCAATAGCAGTTACAAGGTGCTTATCAGTTTAAATCGCATAACTGATTATTTTAATTTTACACAACTGTTATTTGCATTATTGATATAGGTTGGGTAGCCAACAGTTGGATTTAGAGAGACAGAGAAAGAAGTGATCCTATCCAATTTTTCTTTTTGTTTGGGAATCTTTGCATTCATTTTCCATGCTGAGAAAATTCTGAGAACCTGTCTAGCTCCTTCTATAAATCTTTGACTGAGTTTCATGCGAGACTTGGATAGATGAATCATGTGAGGACAAGTGATTTAATACTCCCTTATTGATAACTCTAGCCTTAAATTTCCAAGATTAGTGATGACTGACATTTGAAGACAGTTTCTCCCTTATCTTAAAATTGCTAAACAACTTTCTGGCTCTAGTTACCTTTAATTTATTTTTTTTTTCTTCACTATTGAATTTTGATTTAAATAACTTCATCATAGATTTTCAGATTAAAAGTTAGTGCTGAAGCTTCACTTTTGCTATGCAAGTGTTACCATTCTCTTTCAACAGATTTCAGAAGAAAACTTTTCAACAATCCAAAGCTCCAGCAAAAGAAAAAAAAAAAAGAAAGAAAAAAAGCCTGAAGAGTGAATTGTAGTCAAAGTTACAATAATTTATTCTATATTGGAACTGTGCTTCCAAAAGCATGGTCCATTGTAATATGTTTGTCATTCTCTTTTAAATAAGAAATTTCATGCCTAAAGGACATCAATAGAGAAAAACTAGCTAAAGAACTGAAATGCATAAGGCAAGGTCACTTTAATATTTGACACAGTTTTACTCTGCAAATATTTTTTTGGGATTGCAAATTTGATTCTTCTTCCTGTTACATGCACTTTGCAACTTGAATCTCTTCAAAGGTTTTTAAATTTCTTATTAGCTGTAATAAAGAGCTTTTACATAAACATTTATTACATTTTCTTACATGAGGCGATAAAAAGACTTGTAGCATATTATGCTGCAAGCTTACCAGCATTTAGTGTTATCTCTAATATAATTTCTCCATTATGTCAAGAATGCCTAAAATCCTGAATGCTTTGAGGTTTGTTTTTTTTTAGGTTGATTAAGTCTAAGTAAATAATAAATCAGAATATACTTTGCATTTACAGGCACTTGCAGACCAATTTGAAGATGCAAATACATCAGTATCTGAACGCATGAAGATTTTCTACTGTTGTCAGGTGCCTCCACATTGGACCATACAGGTGTGAAACAACCCCATTTCAAGTTTTACTTAAATGTCTGTGGTTCTGGTTGTTTTTGAAACTGTGTAACTCCGAAGTCAAGAGAGTGTGATATGATCTTGAGTTTAAACACTGTAGAAATAAAGATGTAACCTAACAGCACACCAGGTTTTTCTGGAAAGAAACCAAGTTCTACAGTGGTTTGCTTTCAGGTGTCTTGTTCTGTCATGCACAGAAGTACTTGCTTCTAGTGCAATTCTTCTTGACTTTCCTCTTTCCTCTTTCCTCCAATTAAAAATGGACCAAACGTACGAATTTCCAACATATCTCCTGTAAACATAATCTGTCTTACTGTTTATTACTGTTTTACTTATCATAGAATCATAGAATGGTTTGGATTGGAAGGGACCTTAAAGATCATCTAGTTCCAACCCCCCTGCCATCAGCAGGGACACCTTCCACTAGACCAGGTTGCTCAAAGCCTCATCCAGCCTGGCCTTAAACACTTCCACTTATGCTACTATTACTTTCATCTTTCTCCTCTTTTAATGATCACTCACTTTGGGTTGTTTTCAGGAAGTAGATAATGGCCAAAACAACCAAATTAGGAGACAAAAGTACACTGAAGAACTCCTTGAGCTGATTTTATTGTCGAGACAAGCCCCTGTTTAGTAGTGCTGGCAGGATTTTTTGTCCAAAACTACACTGTTTATCTTGACAATAAACTCTCTAGAACAGAAATCTACACATTAGTCTTATCTGATTATACTGTATTTAAGAAACTTAAGGAAACTGTTTGCATCACATACTTCCAAAGGTGTTCATATTGTTTACTTTTAATGGTGTTTTATTCCTTTTTGATTTCTAACCTCCATGAATGTTGCTCTAACCAATCATATGTTCTCCTAGCATTCTCAAATTATTCCACACAACCTTTCAACAGGCACTTACAATAAAACTAGCAAATGTGGTTTTCATTTCTGGTTGTCAGAGTGGCACTTTTCAATCCAAGCCAATTTTCCAAGCCAAAGATAGAAATACTAAAATAGAGGCTTATAATGGAAGATGGCTGCAGTCTTCTAATCATGGTAATGAAGAGGCATTGCCTATATAAATTTTACCAAATTTTACTCTAAATTTAATAAAACATAAATGAGGTTTAGTTACAGACACTGGCAAATGTAGGATTTTTCCTAAGCAGTTAATATCAATCTAACAAATAATTACTTTGTTACAGATTTTCAGAGTTCGTTACATATTTATGTTAAAGACCTGTAGCCAATTCTTATTTTTTTTTATTACCAGTCTATTCCCATATGGTAATTCTTTGGATTTGTAACTGATACTGAACCCAAACCTATAAAGGGAAGTCCATGACATCTGCGGAGAACTTAGGAATCCATTCAGGATCACCAGAAACGTTGCCGAGGTTCACTGTATAGAATCTCACAGCATAATTAGGTGTCCTTATACAGAATGCTCCCATTTGCTTTTGCAAAACAAATTGTATATCTGTCACACATAGTAAATAAGTTATTTTTTCTTCCAAGATGAAAACCTATATGTGATTGTAATCTCCTTTAAAAAAAATAAACAAAAGACAACTTCTAAAAATAATGAAAACATACCTTTGTTGTTTTAAATTGAAAAGATTACTCATTTATTTTCATAAGTACACTGAAATAATAGCTGACTGACTTTGAAATAACAAAGAGGCTGACTTATCTGTGAGAAAAACTCAACTAGGGAGTTGAACCTGAACTCAAATCCAATATTGATTTGGCTAAAAACTAACACCCTTTGGCAGTGGCCGTTGGGGACAATGATTTCTCACAAGTACCTAACAAAATTGTATCAGAGCCTTTCTGTCCATGTGTGGTTTTTCACAGGTACAGGTTACTATAGCAAAGCATTGGTATTGCTAGAAGAGGTTTTACTGCCCTCCTTCTGTCTCTGTTTTCTACTCAGCATTCCCAACATCCTGCTGCAGCTGCTCTCCAGCCGCACGGGCCATGCGCCTCATTTAAGGGGTGGAAGTTCAGCTCTGTCAATTCGTCCTTGCCATGTCTGTTTCTGTTTTAGCATTATATTATAAACTAGTTCAAAGTAATTAAGCCATTGATATGAACAGAAGTAAAATCAAAGTAATTATTATTCTATTGATTTTTTTTTTTTTTGTTGAGGTATATATATTGTTTGAGGCTCCAGCTTGAAGTTTCAAGAGAATAATTCCATGTTCTCTATCTGCTTCTTGTTGATGTTAGAAATGCCTCTGACATTTAAAAACGTAAATAGTATTTACTTACCTATTTTCAGTTACCTAGAATTTCTTATTTTTCCAGCGTCAGCTTGCAAGCTTACTCTTTGAGCTGGGGTGCACCAGCTCTGCCTTACAGATATTTGAGGAGCTGGAAATGTGGGAAGATGCAGTAATCTGCTATGAAAGAGCAGGACAGCATGGAAAGGTAAGAAAAATGTTTTTTACAGCTGAGATCCTGTCTTGAAATAGGATCTGAAGTATTCTGACTTGAGCTGTCAGTTTGCTAACGACACCTGCTTCCACAGAGCTATCAGGAGGAAAGTCTGTTCAGTAAAAATGAACACATGACACATTCACAGTCTGTCATAACCTGTGAATGTTAAAAAAAAAAAACAAAACAAAACAAAAAAAAAACCACAACAAAAACGATTCTTAAGATGACCACATGAAATAGAAGTTGGTAAATAAGAAATAACTTCTTAAGAAGATTGTGATAGTGATTCTTGAAAATACATCAGGGAAGATTAACAACTATGAATGTGCAGCAATGTGTAATGTGGGCATTTCAAGAAGGCTGTAGCAGTCACTCATTATGGGGTCTTGGAGCTTTGTCTGGAGGGGATCTTAGTTTTTTTTTTTTTTTTTCCCCCACTTGATTTCAAACTATTAACTGTAGTTTTTAAAAACACTTTAAATAGAACAACATTGGTGCTTAATTTGTTTGATTACCTAATGTTAACATACTCAAATTACAGAATCAAACATTTGAGACAAGTAGTGAGGTAAGATTAAAAGGCTTTATTTTGTTTAGTCCATGTTGATATTTTCCTGAACTTCTCCATCATTTCTTTAATACTGCTGCAGCTACGTGTGATCAGCTCCAGAAAAAGATAATTTAAAGCCATCACCTAAATTTGTGCATCAGTGAAAGAATTGTTTAAAAATGCTGATAGCAGACTGTAGTAGCCCTCCTATTGATTTTTCTGTTGCTATTAGGGCAATGGCAGATTGCTCTAGGAAGATTTTAGAAAATGATACCTGGAAGCAATGACTACTTGTGTGTAACTTTAGCTGTGTTCTCTTTCTGGTGTAGTCTCTCACACAGACTGTAACAGGAGCTATCAAGCATTGTTTTCAGAATTTATATAGCTTTCAGAAATATTCACTTTCAGACAAAAATATGTTTTTTCTGTTCTTCCCTGTTCTTTCCCTCTGTTTGGTACATGGTAGCATTAAATATGTCAATGTATGTGCATCTTGATGATGCCATAATCACAAAGACTATGCTGAAACTAATTTAAGCTTACAAAATAAAGAGCTGTAACTTCAGTTAATAGACAAAATGCAAAATTTCTCATACTTACATGTTTTTTCTAATTATCAGACATCAGTGCCTAGATTTTGGTCATTATAAACTGATAGATATGTTTTGCTGGCAAATTCTGTGTCACATTATACATGCCTTGGGGATAGTATGCTAATATCACTGTCTTTTCAGTACAGTGGAGAAATAGAGGTCAGTGTTTTCCATTTCCTGGAAATGCATTCTGTCCTACTTATATTCACAAACTGCCCTTAGGGAGTTATGAAAATGGCACTCGGAGAACAGGACAGGAAATCTGACACAGGAAACTGCTTAGAAATGCTTTCAGAATGCGGGTTTGTGCTGTGCTTTGAAAAACAGAAAATACTATGTAAGTACTAAGTAACAGTAGTGCTGGGAAAAAAGTTAGCTTCACACCAGAAAAGCCTGAAAATAAGAAACATTTAGCTGTACACCAAGGGGAGTGGTTATTTGTGTTCCTTATCAGAAAGCTTTCAGAGCATGAACTGTCTGTATTTATCAGGAATGTTTTTAAACGTGGCAGTTATTCTTTTAGAAATGCATGAGAATCTACTAAAGCAATATGTTGTTCAGTGGATGTTCACGTCATTAAAGAACTTAGCATATATGTGCCCAAAAGAACCAACTCTATTTAATAAACTTCTGCATGTCTCACAAATGCTTTTCTATATAAAACCTGAGTTTAAATTCTGAAAAATCTAATAAAGCAGCCAGATATCAGCAATATCAATGCATTTGAGTAGTTACACAAGAAAGTAATATGTTCCTTCCTCCTGCTTTTGAATTATGCACTGACAAGGAGACAGAGCATGTAGATAAGGCTATGTGAAGCTCCACATTATGCGCTTGGGAAATACAGAATTTACTCAGTTATAACTGGGCCATGCGGCAGTACAAATTTTGCAGAGTAAGATGTCACTAACATTTAGCAAACTTTTTTGTGGATCTTTAACTGTAACTATGTTGGTGCTTTAAGAGCCGAAGCTGCAGGCGGCTTCAGCCTTGAGCAATTAATTCCTGACCTTGAGTGAAGATAAAATGAAAATAAAACAAAGCAAGAATGTGTATGAGACAAGATAAGGGATGACGTGTGTGCTGTAAGCAGTAACCAGTCAAAAGTAAAAGAATGGCTCATGAACAGGTGGAATTATCCAATCATGTCAGTTGTTTAAGCACATTTTCACCGTGTGGGTGATAAGGGGTAACGAATCAAAAGTGGAAGAATGCCACATGCTTGGGGTATGCTGAAGGGGAAAAGGATACATAAGCAGTGCAAAGCTTCAATAAAGTGCTGATGCCTGAACACGTCTCGGTGTTGTTCATTTCATCCGCCACATTACTAGACATGGCTCTATACTCGCTGGTTTCATAATCCTAACAAAATTATAGAAACTGAGATCATAAAGTGAGTCAACAGAACAGTAACAGAGTGCCAAGTGATGAGCAAAACAGACCACAGACCAAAAAAAATATTATAAACTCTGAATGCGCAGTATGTTGATAGTTGCTGTGACTTTCTCATTCCAGTTTTTTTACTCAGTGTATTCTTTTAACAGACTTGTTGCAAGGAGACACTAATCTCCTTGTGTGCAGTGAAAACTGGTGTTGAAAAGTGTCCCTTTCCTTTGTTTTTAACTGTGAGAGGGACCCAGAGATCCCGAGAATATTATTTACATCAGACAACTTTAATTAAGGTGTAGGAGGTCCCTTCAACCTCACCAGAAATGGATAATACCCTAAAAATGGTACTTTCCCTGCTAACAGAAAAAAGGAAGGATGAACTGGAGATGTTAATTTTCAGTTCTTGCCATTGAAGTGAGGCCTTTCTCCCTTGCAGGAGCTCTAGAGCATGGTAGCTGCTGACCTTTGATAAATTCATGAGATCTACATTTTAGGCAGCCTTGTATTCTATCTTACAACACTGTTTTCAGTCCTATCCCTGTTCCATCATCTCCTCAGAGTAAACAGTGTGATACACAGTATGGTTTTAGACCAACATAGCCAGCAATCCATGTTCTACAGTTATTTTTCTTGTCATGACACAACACATATCTCAAAATGTTTGAGCAAGGAAACACAATTATGGTAAGACTTCAGATCATCACCTTTAAATTCAGCAAATGCTTCCCAGATGCAAAGTCAAGTAGTACTATGCTAATTGGTGCATGAGCTCATTCAAGAACTTGATTGATCTCCACTACATATCATAAGACATAGAAGGCAAGGAGGCACTCCTGTATGTAGCTACAAAATTGAGAAAGAGAAGTAAATTGATTTCCCAAGGTCATGCATGAAGTTACAGAGAAGATTAAATGAAAACTGAAGAGCTTTCCTTTTCTCTCACTACTTTCCATGCTCATCTATTCTGCTTTTTCATGCTAATTCTCTGATATCCTAGCAAATAACGTGCAAGCAGAAAAAATGAAAGCATTTGAGGAAATACTTTGAATTAACAAAGAAATTAATTGTCAAATAATAGAACTGTCAGATCTGTGAAGCGTGAGGCTAATAGGGTCTTTTAGGAAGCAACTAAAAGAAAAGCATGTGAACACATGGATGGGACAGCAAGTGGAAGTTTAGGGTTGGGAAGCCAAATGAAGGATGAATCTTGAACTTGGTTTCCAGAAGTCTGTGTTGTGACTAATAAAAAGGCACCACCTTTTATTTAAAACAGAACCCTCTCTACTGATTGGGGATTTTTGTGAAGCATTGCCTGTTTAATTCCCATACCAACTGTAGTAGTCCAGAAAGCAAGTTAACAGCCTGAATCTTTCTGATGTTTAAGTTGACTCACTTCTGAACTGAGTGTTGAATTCCATCCATTCTCACGCAGACCATTCTGTGAAAAGCAGTGTTGTTATAATTACATCTGTTTCAGTCAGCAAGGGTGATACAGCTTCATTGTTTTCTTTTTAAAAAAGGTAACTTTTAATTGATAATTTTCTTATCAAAGATTATTTAGTTTAGGTATAATTTTTAGTTATAAAGCATGCAAATTAATCATTAATATCTGTTTAATGTGCAAGAATAAATCTCCAGTGGTTATATTTTTTTATGTACATTGTGTGAGCTATGTGGAAAATATTTCTTGATAATTTTTTTGTTGTTAAGACAAGATTTGTTTTTTGCAGGAACAGGGTTCTTATCAAAGCTAAAATATGCATTTTTGCAATAGTTTACTACAAAGTTAGGAATATTTTTCTTCACCAAAACCTAGACAAAATAAGAAGTCCAGTTTTAAAGTGTTACCTGGTTCTGCAGAAGACAAAAGACAAATATTTTGAGCATACAATTTTTCTTAGTTTGCAGTTATAATCCTTTGTATTAGCCTTTAAAGGTTAAGTAATGAAAAGGTTTGTAGCATGCCAGAGAGGTGATCAGATCTGGCATGAATCAGATGAAGAAAAAGTTAGACTTCTGCTTATTTAATTCTCTGTTTTATCTGTGTGCTGAAATATTTATGTTGGCAATGAATTCTTGTAAGCTTAGACCAGAACATGATGTTTTTATGCTCTTAGATGTGGAATACACTTAGTGAATGGTTGGCTTTCTAGTCTAGCGTACGATTAGTGCTAGGCACTGCCACAGAATAGCAATCTGATCTTGGGAGTGCCCTGTAGAGGAAGAGGTAAAGAAGCAGTATTCAGTGCACTTTCCACAGCAGCACCATAGCTGCTGTTTACACAGCAACATTTCAGTCTTCTTTTCTTTATCTGAAGGGGAAAAAAACCCTTAGCTTTTAGTGCCTAATGTGATTACTGCAGTAATAAAGCACCCAGTCCTCTCTGCTCTAGAAAAATCATCTTAAAGATCTATTATTAATATGTGTTCTTTTAATCTTGTCGTAGTAACTAATGGAGGCAGGGAAGGGGAATTAAACTGCCCTTTAACCAAACCCTCTGCAAGTACAGCCTTCTTGTTAGGCAAGGTTTCCTCGTGCTTTGACTAGGCTGATTCTAAATTTTAAGTAATTGTTTCTTTCTTTGGAGAACTGTTCCATAGGCACTTAAAAACACTGTTATTGTGTTATTAAAAACATTGTTATTTTCCTAATATTTAGCCACTAATTTTCTTTTTAATGAGATTCCAATTTTGCTAGTTTAAGATCCCTTTAGAAATCTAAACAACACATCTCTTTTTCACATTTGTGTACTTTAAATACTTGTAGACTTTACTGTTTCTTTATTTAACAAAAATGATAGTAAGAATGAAGTGGTAATACTACTATGCATTAAATATTTCAGAACAAAGTCACTTTTCTAAAGATGATTTTTAGGCCAGACCAATGAATTTTCCTGATTGGAGAAAAGTGTAAGAGACTTTGATTCTCTAGAGTTCATCTGAAGGACAAAGAAAACAGTTCTTCTAGAAAGAAGAAAAGTAATACCAATTCAAATACAGAGATGAACTCAGATTTCCTTTTAGATAAACTAGCTATGATAGAAGAATGACTAGTCTTACAATGTCAAACTTTAATTCTGTGACAGGCTACATTGGATCTTTCTTGGTTCAGATGGTTCAAATAGATCTTTTCTAATAAAAAAATTATACTAAGCTGAATTATGTATGTTACATTTTTGCAGCAGGGGACTGAGGTGAGAGTTCAGTCTGAACAACAGATCATCTGTCCAGTATATTTATCTTTTTCAAAAAGCCACAGAAAGCAAACTATCTCTTGGTTAAAAGAGAAACAATAATTTTATTGTTAGAGTGAGATAGTGACCCTGAGATAAAGAGCTTTTGAAAGTTTATTACAGTCCATAATAGATGTCTGGGAGACCTAGCTTGTGTCTTCTTTTCCTTAATGTATCTTCTGGATATATTTTATCTCACACATTTAGATAAATTTATAACTTCTGCATCTTATGTAAAAGAGTAGCATTTCCAAAACCAACAATATGAAAGTGGACATGTCTTCAGAAGCAATAGAATGGAAACAGCTATTTTCAGAAAAGAGCAATTAGAGAAAAGGGAATGACAGTCATTGCAAGAGTACTTATTAGGATATATAAAACCCACAGGTGATAAATCATTACAATTGCACATAGCTTAATGGTGTTGATACTGCATTGCTATGAAGTAGGTGTATTTGCTCTTGGGACAGAATACACACCTAAGATGTAAAATGAGGAGCAAACTGCTTCTTGTTTTAGTGGGTACATTTTCCTTGGTGCATTAAACCAAAAGCCACTGTATGATGTTGATGTTGAAGTGGGGGTTTTTTTGCTGTTGGTTTAAAAACAAACAAAAAACCCCAACAGTTTGGAACCAGATTCTCTGTAGATTTTATCTTTGCTGTGTTGGATCAAAATTCTGTTTCCTTACTATCCCTACTTCTTAGGCTTCAACTGATGACTGCGAGGTGCTAAAGTGATATTTGTTCAGATAGCTGTTTAACTGAAAATAAATTATCCCATTACGTATTGATTTCTCTTTGTTCTTTAACAGGCAGAAGAAATACTTAGACGGGAGTTAGAGAAAAAGGAAACACCAGGATTATATTGTTTGCTTGGTGATGTTCTTAAAGACCACCAGTATTATGACAAGGCCTGGGAGCTCTCCAGGCACCGCAGCGCCCGCGCCCAGCGCTCCAAAGGCCTCCTCCATCTCCGCAACCGGGAATTCAGGGAATGCGTGGAGTGCTTTGAACGATCAGTGCAGATCAACCCTATGCAGGTTGGGAAATTATACACCTATGGCTTTGTTCTAATTGGTGTGCTCAGAATGAGAGTTTACAGAGTTTGCTGGATTCTGGGGGAAAAAAAAAAAAAACTATATGAATTTGCCATATGCAAATAGTAGGAATTGCTTTTGAAAGTGCAAAAAAGTTTCTTCAGCTATATGATTTGGTTTTTTTTCTTTTTAAGTATTCAGCTATACTGTAATTAGGTTTGGAACAATATTCTCACTAACGTGAGAGAACTGTTTAGGCTTTCTTAAAGCATTTCATAATCATAAAGACGTGCCTGGATATTCTTGATGGCAAGTTTTTACAGAGTCCAAGCCTAACTTATCTTCCTTTGCTGCTCACTGTCTTCAATTTTTAAAAGGCTAAAAATTTACAGCTCATTTTCATGTGTTTTTCCAATCAGTAGCAACATTTGAACCTCTAGCCAATGCACTTTTTTTTTATTTCCAAAAAAGAACTTTAACCTAGTTCCACAAGCCTTGACAAAAGTCTTTTTTGAACTTCGGACAAAGTTTGCCTTACGCTACCTTTCAGTAAGTCACTCTCCGCAGAGCAGTTCTTACATCAGCCGCTGGGATCAGCAGATTTCGTGCCCTCCCCAATAAAAAGGGAATTCTTACCATTCTTTCCACAAAAAATAGCTTGTCTATTCTTAAACTGTATCCTAAGTATATTATTAAAAGAGTCAGTGTACTTACTATATTTTGGAAGAAATTCATGCTCCCTTTCCAGATATCTAAGGGATAATAAAACACCATTTCATTGCTATAGTAGATCAAAAACAATGAACCTTTGTTTTTTGTTTGCTTGGTTTTGTTTTGTTTTGCTTTACACAGTTCTTGAGCTTTCTCATTTGTTTAGCACACCAGCTTTTAAACTATGTCCTCTTATTCTTAATAATCTCCTTTATTTTGTTTTTAACTGTTTTGAGTGTCTAGTCTTTTAAAATGACAATACACAGTTGCTCCAAGCCTTGAAATATCTTGTCTTTAAATGTTTCAAGTCCTCTTTTAGCTGCCTCTTTTAGTTTTTAACCTAGGTTTTCCATTTTAAGTAGCTCTTAAATTTAACATCCTCTGTATTAAATGAGCTGCTTTTGTTCTTGAAGGACTGGTGAATCTAGATACATTACAAAGTATCTTTTGTATTGTAACATGTTGAACCTGATCATTCATATTGGTCAGGATCAAGGTAAGTACTGTCTTCTGACTAGCTTCTTCCTATCTAAAAAATGTAGCCTTGGAATTTCATCCATTATGGTATTTACTAAACTATGTGGAATAATTGAAATCTCCCTGTATTTTCTGGGATTTCTACTTTCACAGCCTTCTGATACCCTCAGCATGTTACCTTCTCAATTTTAGTCAAGTATTCTGAGATACAGTCTTTATCCTGCTTTTTTACTGAAGCCTTGAAATATTAATCTCTACCAGTTCTGTTGATTGCTTACACAGTTAATTTTCTATATGATTGGTGCTGAAGTTTTCTTTAACATATAGTGACATTCCCCATCTACATGACCTGTCCCACTTTCTGTGTAATTTTTGCCTCCATATCATAGCATCTCATGAGGCTACTTGACTTAATTCCCACCCCAGAGACTTTTCAGCTCATTCTTCTTGTCTGCTAAAGGATCCCTTTAGGACACCTTTCCCAACCTTCTCCATCACGTCTAGTTCTCACATTTTTTCTCTTAAGTTGAAACCTTCACATATAGTTACTGCTAGGCAAAATATCTTGTTTCAAATTATTAAGCAAAGAAAATTATTTATCATTCTTTGCAGTCACTGTATGACTTTTACTAGGTACCTGCTTGTATAGCTTTTCTTCACAGAAGTAAAGAATCATTTTACTTCCTCCTCGTGCTGAAACTTTTCCTTGAGAAAGGAATTGACAAGTTTAAGTATTGGTAAGCCAGTTCCTAAGAGATGTAGCTGCTCACCGTCAGCCTCAAAAAATTAAAGTGGTGGAAAGTTTAGTCAAATTAGGTTCTGGAACCACAAGCTCAGAAGTGAGACTGTTACTCATTAGACTTACAAAAAAGGCAGTGATTGTTTCTTTCTCTCAATTTTCTCTATTAATTTTACCCTCTTGAGATTTGGGAAACATTGTGTCCTCCTCGTATGCAGTTTCTTCTTTGAATGATGGATTTAAGGATCATGAAAAGTGACAGGCTGACAATGCTGAAAAGTGGATTTTTCATGTTTGACCAGGCCGGATGTAATTGGTAGTTCTATCTCCACCTGTTCATCCATATGCTCTGAGGATGGGCCATCCATGTACACTTCCAATTGAAAAGGAAATCTTTATTGCCAAGCTTGTTCAGTTCTTTTCTTGATATTGTGCAGACTGCCCACCAGGGTGCCAGATCTGACAGGGATGAATGTCATGAATGTCAGGAGCAGGTTTCTTGTTACTGATTTTAAGTTGGGTCTCAGAGACAGAAAAGTGAGTCTGATCTGGAGAGAACTGCAAGAGGTAGAAGCTCCTTGCATATGAATTAACAGCTTTATCATCAACCCTGTACAATCCCTGATTTGCAAATGTTTCTTAAAGTAACGTTTTTGTGTTTAAATAGCCATTATGGTTTCCTATTAAGAACCTGAGTTATCAGAATTGCTTGCTTTAGAACTAGTACCTAAAACACAAGAGGATATAAATATTAATCAGACATCTTGAAAAGTAATATGTTATTTTGCAATGTAAATTAATGTTACCTCATTTTCCATCTTCTTCTCAACGTTTTTCCCCCTCTCTCAAAAATTTTCCAAGAAAACCTATTTATGTTTCTTAACTTGGCATTTAGAATGGAGAAACAGCTGAGCTTATTGCAGTAGGTAGTACTACCTGGAATGATTTTGTAGCACATTATAAAATATTCTGTTTGATTTTGACTGCATATATTTAAGCAGCATAATGCTGTCAGAAAATGTTTTGTCAATGACTTAGGATTTGATACTTATCTGAATGAAAGAGCTTTTCTGAAAGATAGTACCGCTTAACTTCAAGCTCTTTGAGAATTAACAGTGTGGCAAACCAGGAACTTGTTATTGAAAAGCTATGAAAATATGCATTTAATTTGCTGTAACTTTTTTCCTTATACCTGATATTATGTAGAATAGAATGGACTCTTTCAGTTGGAAGGGACCTACAATGATCATCTCTTCCAACTGCCTGACCAAGTTAAAGCCTGTTATTAAGGGCATTGTCCAAATGCCTCTTAAACACTGACAGGCTTGGGGCACCAACCTTCTCTCTAGGAAACCCGTTCCAGTGTCTGAGCACCCTATCAGTAAAGAAATGCTTCCTAATGTCCATTCTAAACCTCCCCTGGTGCAGCTTTGAACCATTCCCAGGTGTTCCCTGTCACTGGAGAGCAGGCTCAATATGAGTCGGCAGTGTGCTCTGGCAGCCAAGAGGACAAACTGCTTCCTGGGGTGCATCAAACACAGGATAACCAGCCTGTCAGAAGAGGTGATTATCCCACTGTATTCAGCATTGGTGCAGCCTCACCTTGAATACTTTGTGCAGTTCTGGGCCCCACAATTTAAGAAGGATGCAAAGGTCCTTGAATGCATCCAGAGGAGGGCAACAAGGCTGATAAAAAGGCTGGGAGGAATGTCCTATGAGGGGTGAATATAGACTTTGGGCTTGTCTAGTTTGGAGAAAAGGAGGCTGAGGAGCGACCTCATTGCTCTCTACAGCTTCCTGAGGAGGAGACATGGAGAGGGAGGTCCTTATCTCTTCTCCCTGGTTGACTCTATAGGGATGAGAGGTATTTGGTTGTAACAGCTAAAGACTTGCAAGGCAAGATTATTCAACTGGTAAAGTTCTGTATCCAAAGCATTATTTAAGTACGCTTCTGTCTCTAAACATTGCATTATAAACTAGAGAAGATTGATATTCTGACAGGTAGAAAGAGCTATAATTTTGAAGTGTTTGTGTGTAGTCATTAGAAATGTTTCTTGTAAAATGTGATTTCTTTGAAATACATTTCCTAGGATTTACAATTTGACCTAATTGTATTATTATAAAGTGAATATTGATTTTTCACAAGTCAAAGTAAAATATCCAAACCTCTAAGAAGCTATCACTTTCTTCTCTAAATGAGGGTGCTCTGTTAAGGAGCGCTTCGCATATGGTTAAGTGGTCTTTATATAGTCAGCATCTTTGTTTATCTATATTTATTAAAACTTTGAATCTAAGGTTTTCCTGTATTCTGCATGTAGGATACTACTTATTCCAGTGCGATACTATTATAATAGTTGAAAATCAGGTGAAATCAACAAGAGTAGTGTGTATTTGAGCATCCAGGCAAAATTATTTCTTTTGTGCAGAAATACATATGTATATATGTAATCATCCATTTTTTCTCTCCAGCTAGGTGTATGGTTTTCCTTGGGCTGTGCATACATCGCTTTAGAAGGCTACGAAGGTGCTGCCAAAGCATTTCAGCGCTGTGTGACATTGGAACCAGATGTATGTACTTTTCAACAAGCGACTCAGATGACTTATCTAAAAGCAACAAGGATGTTCTCATTATAAACAAGCAAAGCAATAATGAAAAACTTGTTTAAACCTTAGCCCTTTGAATAAATGAAACTTGTGCATGAAGGATATATTTTTATCATGAGGCATCATAAAAATACTTGCCCAATGCTTAACTTTGTCCAAGTATGTGTGTGTGAAGGTTAAAATATGTTTGAGCAGAAATTCCTGTATGCTTGGATACATTGCTAAAAGAGAGAAAAGGGAATGAGTAGACTGTGAGGAGTGCTAAAAAGAGAGAGAAAACAAACAAATAAAAAATTAAGATACTTAGTCCTCTAAGTAATCAAATTCTCCTGAAAAAAAAGTCAAATAAGTGGCTATATGACAGGTAAACTTAACTATATCGTTCACAAGCACAGGGAGAATGGCGCTTGTTAGCCAGTTTTTCAGGATGCACGGGGCAAGCTTGTGTACAAAATTGCCATTTGATTGTGACTGTGCATTGAGATAGCAGAGGCATCAGCTGAATTACCTCTTGGGAATGCTCTGACAATGTTTTTGTCAAAAGGCCTGACTGCCTGCATGTGGCTTGCTTAAAGTTAGTGCCACCTACTTGATAGAAACTATTATTCATTCTTTTCTCTTGGGGAGAAGAATGAGAGAGCAATGAAAGGTAGTAGAGTACTTTTATTCATAAAATGCAATAATTTACTTGGAAAAAAATGTACATACAGGAAACTCTGTTTAACTGGAATTTTTACTTTAAATATTGATAATTTTTTGTTTTAGTACAGTAGATTTACTTCCAAGTAGATACTAAAATGGTGTTCACTTATTTCTCTGGGGCCTGTACTTGATTTTATTCATGTGAACAAACCAACTGACTTCTCAGTGGGTTAAGTAGCATTTCTTTTATGAGGAAAGGTTGTGGGGCTGGCTCTTAGTTATGGAGGTGAAACCTGTCTTTATTCAGTGATCTGAAGCAATGTAATGACCATTTAAATTTCTCAATTAAGCCTTCAAAAGGTTTCCCAACATGTTTTAAATATTGCATAAGCCTTCAGTACTAGAGAATATTTCATTGCAGTACCCAGGTTCTGTTCTTCAAATTTGTACTAGTTGTCACTTTGCTGAATTCAGTGGTGTGACTTAAAATTTACAGCAGTATAAGGTGTTGGGCAGGAATCATCTCTGTACATGGCTCTGCTGGTTTTAGAGGAAAGGTTGTCTGAGTACTCTGTAATCCTTTTCAACTAAAATAGTTGATAATGACTGTTGAAACTAACCCTGTTAGTTTTGCCTGAGATGCATTAGGGGGTGTTCAGATGATTTTTTTTCCACTAACAGTGCAGGTAAGTAGCTTGCAGCTAGTGAGAAGTGATGAGCTGCTGGGAGCACTGACCTCTCCAGCCATCCCAACTAGATCCAGAAAAGGATGCCTGTTTACAGTTAAAACAGTAAGTTTACAGTTAAATTGAAGGCAAGAGCTGACTTAGCGTATTCTAAGCAGAAAAGGCAGTTAATTTATATTTATATACCTGATTGTTGCTGTAGTGAGGAATATTTATATATTTCTATTTTAATATAGTAATTTCTATTTCAGTGTAATATTTTGACTGCCTTGTAGAAAATATGTGATGTGTGATTAGCGAAATCAGTGATAATTCACAGTAGTTTAATTTATGTATTTTTATCAAGTAATCATAATATAAGTGAATAATTTTTTTGGTACTTCACCTTTTATCTTTACAGAATGCAGAGGCCTGGAACAATTTATCAACTGCTTATATCAGATTAAAACAGAAGTAAGTACTTCAAAAGGATTAGAAGATACTGCTTCCAAAATACATAATTGGGATTTCCTTTTTTTGACATTGAGTTTTTTATTCTTATGATGTGGTTACCTCATATTTTGTAATGCTTATCCCTCCAGTTCTCTCTCCCAGGTTGGCTTATTGATAACTTATTTCATTTTACAGGAAATAGTTTCCTAAGCTTTATGAAAGTAGCAACTCTCAGCCTACACTTCCTTTTGTATTAGAATTGGAAACTAATTTGAGTATGAAGTTAAAAAGATAAATCCATTTCAAGCAACTATATTCAGACCTGTGTCAGTTCATACTACATTAATCTTAGTAGATTTAAGGGGAAAACAGGTAGTTTATTTCTTTGTATTATGAAAGCAGGTGGAGATCTGCGCAAATACTAGCTCACTTGTTCTTTTCCCTCCAAATTAACCATTAGTACCAGAAGCTTTGACCTAAATGGACTGCCTTTCTTACTTTGTATTTCAACTAAATGTAATAAGTTACTTGTAGACACAGAATAGAACTGAAGGAACTTAGTATTTAGAAGAATTTTCACATTATAGCTTGTCCTCAAAGAATGAAACAAAAGAATAAGATAAATTTTAAAAAAATTTACTCCAAATCTGACATCAGTTTATATATTTATGCAGTCAGGAGGCAAACTAAAGAGAAAAAGAAGAGTAAATTTACAATAAAAGGGTAAATTGATAAACATACAAAAGAAATGTGGGAAGTAATATCATAAATTAATTTAAGAGATGGTGTGATATGCTAATGGGGGCAGGAGGGAGGAGAAAAGAAGGTTAGAATAACTACTCAAGATTAAGAAATAAAGTAGTAGGAATCAAGAGCTTGATTTAACTTAAAGTTTTTAACTTTAACTAGTTCCTTTAATCTTCAGCAGTGCCCTGAGAATGCAAAATTTATTGTCTTAAACTGCGTGTGATTGTCTCTTCTTTTGCATGAAGTTCTAAAGGGTATGTCTGATGCTCAGTGTACGGACTTATGCTTGTTTCATAAAAGTATCTTTAATCAAAATATTGGTTTTGTCTGTTCATCTACCACAAGGCTGAGAAACTACTGTGATTAGTTTCACTTTATTGCATTCTGATAGCTGAGTGTGGCCTGGATTTGCTGTGGAGTAGCAACTTCTTTGATTATTTGTGTAGTCACTTATAGATCCAGACTGTGTGCGAGTTAGTTTAACCCACTCTCAAAACAAAGGATATCGGAATAGTGCACTTCTGTATAACATTCTGGGGCGCTGAGTAGTGGTGGAAGTGTAAATTCTTATTTTTTCAAGCCTGCTGGGGGTGGGGGGAAAGTAGAGGGAGGATTAAAAAAAGGAAAATAAAATTAAGATATATAAGTTCATTGTTTTCTTTTGCTCCCTCATCAAAATCAAGCTTCACTCCAACCAGACTCTTAAAATCAGTCCTACTTAAGGATTGTGCATTTGGGTAACGTTTGGCAGAGTCTCCTACAACAGACAAATATAAAATGTGTAAATCTTTTTGAAAAGTGTATGCAAACAACTTGCTGGCACCCAGATTAAAGGGGTTTTGTTGTCTTTCTGGGTTTGTTTGCTTTTTAAGAGTCCACAAGTTTTGTGTATTTGGAATTTCCTCCAGAAAAATTGTTATGAAAACAGACACTTCTCCTTGGTTTACCAGAAAAACTTCTCTGGGTGCCAGGAGACCTTTGAAATCCAGATCTTGTACTTCTCAGAACAGACTATGACTGGCCCTCTGTCCTCTGGGTGAAAGATTCTTGGTTTCCAAGACAGGATGACACCCTGGTACTGCCTACTGTTTCCTATTTGGATATGAAGTGGTTTAACTGTTGCCCTGGTTAAGAATACTTCTTCATTATATGATGTATTGAATGCATAGGAGATTTGTTTTGAGAACCTAGAGGACTTTAGTCACATAGCAAGAATGATGGTTTGAGGAACATGGTTTCCATCCCATCCCTCTTGGAATCTTGTCTACATTTCACAGTTCCAACTGATTGTTATCTGCCCTCCTGATAACTTACTAACTTTTTCAGAAGATGGAGGAGATCATACAGACTAATCCTGCAGATATTGAAG